TAGTTCATGTTCTCAAGGGGAATGCCTTTAATTGCTCTCCATGGAGAACAATGTTGCCTCTCGGGTTTGTGTACATTTTACTATGTTGAAGAAAGTCCCCTCTAATCCTATATTGTTGAGTGTTTTAATCAGGAAAGGATGTTGGATTTTGTCAAAGGCCTTTTCTGCACCAATTGATAGGATAATGTGGTTCTTGTTCTTTGCTTTGTTAATGTAATTACATTGTTTTTCTTATGTTGAACCATCCTTGCATACCTGTTATGAATCCCTCTTAGTCATGATGAATTATTTTTAATTATTTATTTTTTATGTTTGTTGGATTCAATTGGCTAGGATTTTATTCAGGATTTTTGCATCTATGTTCATGAGAGATATAGGCCAATAGTTTTCTATTTTGGTGGTGTCTTTATCTGGCTTTGCTATCAAGGATATGTTTGCTTCATAAAATGAGTCTGGGAGAATTCCATCTTTTTCTATTTTCTGAAATAGTTTATGTTGAATTGATGACAGTTCTTCTCTGAATGTTTGATAAAATTCACATGTAAAACCATCTGGTCCAGGACTTTTTTTGGCTGGAATTTGTTTTATTTTCTTTTCAATTTCTTCTTTTGTAGTGTGTCTATTCAGGTGTTCAATTTTGGTTGCTGTCAGTTTAGGTAGATTATGAATTTCTAAATATTTGTCCATTTCCTCTAGGTTTCATATTTGTTTGAGTATAATTTTTCATAATATTCTGATGTTAGCCTTTTTATTTTAGTTGGTTCTGTTATGATGTTGCCCATTTCATCTCTTATTTGGATTGTTTGTGCTTTTTCCTTCTTTTCCTTTGTTAGTTTTGCTAGTGGTTTGTCGATTTTATTGACCTTTTCAAAGAACTAACTCCTTGTTTTGTTGATGATTTCAAATGTTTTTCAGTTTTCTATTTCATTTATTTCTGCTCTAATTTTTATAATTTCAGGTTTTGGGTTTTTTTAGAGGGTGTTGGGCTTTCTTGCTGTTCTTTTTCAATTTGTTGGGGATGTTGCATTAGAGAGTCAATGGTCATTTTTCCCCTGCCTTTTGATATATTTGCTTATTCCTATAAATTGACCTCTTATTACTGCTTTGGCTGTTTCTCAGAGGTTTTGGTAAGTGGCGTTTTCATTGTCATTTGTTTTAAGACATTTTTTAATTTCATTTTTTATTTCTTCTAGTACACAGTCATATTCAAGCAAGATATTGTTTAGCTTCCAAATGTATGTTTTTTTCCTCCTTTATTCTCTTGTTATTAATTTCTAATTTTGTAGTATTGTGGTCTGAGAAAATGCTTTGAATTATTTCTATGTTTTTGAATTTATTGATACTTGCTTTGTGACATAAATGTGATCTATTCTGGAGAATGTTCCATGCACATTGGAGAAGAAGGTATACTGTGTTTTGGGGGGTGCATTAGCCTACAAATATCTATGAGGTTTAGTTGGTTTATTGTGTGAGCATCTTTGTTGAGTTTTTTATGGTAGTTCTATCTTTTCTCGAGAGAGGTATATTGAAGTCTGCAACTACGATCATAGTGTTGTCTATTTCCTTTTTCAGTTTTGTTAATGTTTGTTTTATATATTTTGCAGGTCTTTCATTTGGTGCATAGATAGTTATTTTTATTATGTCCTCTTGTTCTATTGACCCATTAGGCGTTATATAGTGACCTTCCTTGTCTGTTGTGATAGTTTTGCATTGAAATTTATTTTATCAGACATTAATATTACTACACCTGCTTTTTTTCTGGTTTCCATTTGCTTGGTATATTTTTCCCATCCTTTTATTTTTAGTCTTTCATTGTCTTTATTTTCATTTTTCAGGTGTGTCACTTGTAGACAGCATATTGATGGGTTTTAGTTTTTTATCCAATCAATTCATTACTACTCATAGCAACTGAAAGACAGAGTAAGATTGTCCCTTAGGATACCAAGACTGCAAATCTTTATGGAAAGACACTGACTCATCTTTTTTCCATGGGAAGGCTGGGAGGTTTCAATTGCTGACCTTTTGATTAGCAGCTGAGCCCTTAACCTCTGCACCAGCAGCAAAGTATTATGTTGTTCGAATTGTGAGTCTTGTTTTACTTCTCTCTTTTTAAAATATTCAATATTATGGGGTTTTTAACCTTAGCCATATAAACAAATATTCAAAACACCCAGCAGAATAAATTTTGACAATTATAGGAAAATGACTTTCTTTATCTTTCTAGCCTTCTAGGAAAAAAAACCAACCAAACAAACAAAATCCTCCAAAATTTGAACTTACTGTCATCAAGTCAAAACTGACTCATAGCTGACCCTCCATGGAGTTTCTGAGGCCATAAATTGCATAAGAATAGATTATTTCTCTTTCTGTCCTGTAGCCACTGGTAGATTTGAACCATTGGAGAGATGCGGAGCTTCCAGAAGCACGACAATTACAATAGCAGAGCAACTTCCTGTGGACTATTTCACCAGAGACCGTCCGGCTTCTAGAAGCTCAGACATTCTTTGGCTTGTAGATGCATTTTATTACATGGCTGTCTTTCCTTTGATGTCTTCTCTTCCAAGGGTACCCCATACTCATTAGGCCACTAAAGCTTTTTATAAGAGTACTGTTTTTGTGTTGAGTACTTATCGCTATCTTTCCAGTGGGTTTTCAGAGGAAGTAAATCACACAGGAGGAGTTTGCCCATCTTTCTCCCATAGAACAGCTGGTGCATTTGAACTATATACCTTTGGGTTGGCATTGCAATTCTTTACCACTAAGCCACCAAAGCTTACAAGAGCTAGATCTTTTCTGATCAGTAGTCAGATAGGATTAGGACCTACCGTACATCAGATGGCCTCATCTTAACACATATGTCTCCAAGAGCCTTCTTTCCAAACAAGGCCATGTTGATAGGTACCCTGGGTTAGGACTCCAAAATTTTTTAGAGTGCATTGTTCTCTGTAACACTATATTCTTGACACTTAATCTCTTACTCTTCAAATAGACACATATTTTCAAGATATTTTCCGAGCCTGTAGGATTTTTTGTTCATTTTACTATTTAAAAGGAGTTATTTTAAAATGGTACACATTCTGATTTATAATGAGAATAAGGAAAGGTAAAAGGGAGAAAGCCTGTGAACAAGTGGCGATATCTTTTTATAATCAACCTTGCCCATAAATTTTATAGACTAATTCTAATTGTGGGGGAGATAAAAAGAGGTAGAACAGTTGGTGGCCTGACCCTCTTCCTGTGTTGCAGACCATCTACAATGCCATCACCAATGGCACCCCCTGTGTGATCATGGCGGGCTCTGGCAGGGTGGCTGACGTCATCGCCCATGTGGCCAACCTGCCTATCTCTGAGATCACCATCTCCTTGATCCAGAAGAAACTGAGCATGTTCTTCCAGGAAATGGAGACCTTCACAGAAAGCAAGATTGTAGAGTGGACCAAGAAGGTAAGACATGTCCATCACTAGTCATGTTATAAGTGAAAACACAGGACCAGGAGCTAAGTGCACCCAGAGGAGCTGGATTGGCCTGGGCATAATACGCAGAGGTGGAAGGTTTGGAGTTTTAGGGAGTTTATCTATCAGTTTAGGAGGTCTAATTGAGGCAGCATGGCTCACCATACAAGGGAGGAGTCTTCTTAGTGGATCAGATGACTAAACTCCCACATCTCAGAGTTTTGAGAACTTCAGTCAATCTATGTGATAGGTAAGAGTGGGGTTGCTCTGTCTGTGGAGTGATGTGGAGGTTCTCAGGCATTCTCTTCAGCACTGAATCTTGGGCCCTCTGGAAAACCCTCTAAATTGCTGGTCCAGACCTTTCCTATGCTAGATTCACTTCTCCCTGACCAAAGACAATGATCTTTAGTCACAAGGAGTGACAAATGGAGATCATCCCTGTTAGAACTGAGATACATAGTTGCCTAATATCCCACTCCTTTTTCTTTTAAATAAATTGCTACCTTGCTCTTATGGGCGGTAAGAAGGCTTAAAAAAGGTGAGAATGTTACAAGGACAGGCCTTTTTAGATGGGTCATCTAGTGGGATAGGCAGAAACTATTGCTGTTAATGTCATTGAGTCAGCTACCACTTATCGACCCTACAAACAAGGTCTGAACCTTAACCTATTCTGCACCAGTCTCAGCATCTCTGTGGACTAGAGTTCATTGTTACAGTCATTGTGTCAGTCCATCTTGTTGAGGATTGTTCTCTCTTTCTTTGACCCCTCACCTTTCTCAGCTTTATGTCTTTTTTAAGAACTGGCTCCTCCTGATAATATGCCCAAAGTAGGTGAGATGAAGTTTCTTCTTCTTTGCCTCTAAGGAGACCTCTGTTTGCACTTCATCCAAGACAGATTTGTTTGTTCTTTTGTTAGTCCATAGAATATTAAATACTCACTCTTCACCAACATTATAATTCAAAGACATCAATTTTTCTATACTCTTTATAGTCCTTGTCCACCTTGTAGAAGCAATTGAAAATACCATGGCCTAGTGGAGCTCTGGTGGCCTAGTGGCCAGAAACTATGCTGCAATCTCAAAAATACCATGGCATGGATCAAACACTCCTTACTTTTTAAACTGACATCCTTGTTCTTTATTACTTTAAAGAAGTTCTTGACCATAGATTCCCCCAAGGCAGCATGTGTTGATTTTATGACTGTTACCACCACTGGTGTTGATTTTGACAGGGGCTAGACACCAGAATAGCAAGAAATAATTTCTTTTGGAGATACCTGGGAGACATTTAAGTTGTCCTGAGAGCAGCCATCCACCTGATCTTGAGTGAGATTTCAGGATCAGGAGGGATCTTGAGGAGATCTGTAAAAGAGCATTGCTTCCTGACCACAACTCTAGCCTCAAGAAGGACACATCGGGAAGGATCTTCTTAGACCCTTGCCTGGCTTAAGTGAGCTTGTGGGACCACTGCACTCCCTGCATCTGCTGATGTTTTCAGTCCCACTGGCCCTGTTGTATCTGGCCAAATACTACACTGCAAGGCCAGGCTTACTTGTTTTAAGACCACCAGTACCAAAATAGATAAAGCAAGATAACACTCTTGGTACCAATTTGTCAAAAAACTGAATTGCACTGGGAAAATCTACTATTAGGAACCTCTCTAGAGTACTGAGCAGCAGCAGTGTCAGACTGGAGACTTGTTATTTGTCGTCAAGTGGCCTGCAATTCCTAGTGACCCTGTGTACAACAGCTCTGAATCCTTCTCTATCTTAACCTAATTTCATTGTCTCTGACACACATACTTCATTTGCTCCAGTCACTCTCAAGCCATCTCATCCAGGATCTTCCTCTCTTGTGCTATTCTTTCACCCTCCCAAGCATGATGTCCCTCTCCAAGGACTGGTCCTTCCTGGCAACATGCCCAAAGTATGTCAGATGGAACTTCAAAATTCTTGCCTCCAAGGAGCAGCCTGGTTTCACTATCTCCAGGATGGACCTATTTCTTCCCCTAGCAGTGCATGACATAGTCATTATTTTTCTCCAGCATCACAACTCAAAGGCATTGATTCTTCATCTACCACCCTTCATCATTATTCAGCTCTTTGAGGCATAGCAAGTAACTGCAAAGACCATGGTCTGGATGGAGCATACCTTAGTCTTCAAAATGACATTATTGCTTCTCAGTAATTTAGTGAGATCCTTGCTGACAGATGTTCTCAATGCAATCTATCTCCTGATTTCCTGACTGCTGGTACCAAAGGTGTTGACAGTGGATCCAAGTAAGATGAAGTTGTTTGGAATTTTAATCTTTTCTCCATCTATTATGATGTTGCTCTTTGGCACAATGGTGAGGATTTTTGGTCTCTTAATGCCAAGATGACATCTGTGTTATGCAGATGACACAACATTGCTTGCTGAAAGGGAGGAGGACTTGAGGCACTTGTTGCAGAGGATCAAGGAATTTGGCCTTCAATTTGGATTGCATCTTAATGTCAAGAAAACAAAAATTCTTACCACTGGACTGATTGGCAAAATCATGGTCGATGGAGAAGAGATTGAAATTTCAACAGCTTCACCTTACTTGGATCCATAATTAACACCCTTGTTACCAGCAGTCAGGAAATCAGGAGACATATTGCACTGGGAAAGTCTTCAGTTAGGGACCTCTCCAAATTATTGAGGAGTAATGATGTCAGTTTGAGTACTAAGGTGCATCTGATTCAGGCCATAGTCTTTCCAGTTACTAGTTATGCACCTGAGAGCTGGACAATGAATAGGGATGACAGAAGAAGAATTGATGCCTTTAAGCTGTGGTGTTGGAGAAGAGCTCTGAACATCCCATGGACGGCCAAGAGAACGAACAGATATGTCTTGGAGAAGGTGCAACCAGAGTGCTTTTTGAATGCAAGAATGATGAGGCTTAGCCTCACATTCTTTGGGCATGTTGCTAGGTGGTGCTATTCCTTAGAGAGGGACATGAGGGTCAGTGAAAGAGAGGAAGACTCTCAACCAGGTGGGACGAAACCTTGACTGGCACAATGGGCTCTAGTGTGTGAGGAAGTGTGAAGATGGCACAGGATAGGATGGGGTTCAGATACATTGTTTATAGGGTCACTATGAGTCATAATCAACTCGATGGTTCCTAACAACAACAATAACAACCACAATGCCGAGATGTAATCCATATTGAAAGTTGTAGTCTTTGATCTTCTGCAGCAAGCACTTTAAGTCCTCTTCACTTTCAGCAAGCAAGATTGTTTCATATATATAACACAGGTTGTTGATGAGTCTTCTTCAGAAAATAATGCCACATTCTTCTTCATAGAACTAAGATACAGATAATAGATAAGGTATATGTGAAATATATCAATAATGATTTTATACCTATTTTTTATTGTGATTTTAACAAAAATTTATAGAAAATTTGTCTTTTCATTCATTCATTCATTCATCCATCCATTGTTGCATAATTTTCTCCCTCTCCCATCCTTCCCACTCCCGTATTCCACTTTGCAATGCATCTCTCATTCTGGACTGTTGTCATACATATAATGCTTAATCATATATTCTTTTTAAACAGTTCTTTCCCACATCTGTTCCAATGCAGTGTTCATTTTCTGTCCCCTCTTTTCCTAGTTTCCCCCAACCTTATAGAAATATCTAGATATTTTAAAAACCTTTGTTTTGTAATCTCTCCATCTCTAGATAAGGTAAAGATTTGCAAGAACCAAACAAGCCTAGTGCTATCAAATCAATACTGGCTTGCGGCAGTCCTGTGTGTGAGAGCAGAACTATCCTGGGTCCTTTGCTGTAAACGTAACAGATTCAGATCACCAGACCTTTGTTCCATGATGGTTTAAACAGACAACTTGTAAGTTAGTAGTTAGTAAACTGTTTGAACCACCCAGGGGGTCCCTAAGATCTATATTTGTTGTTTTTGTTGCTGTTGTGTGCCATCAGGTCAGAGCTGGCCCAGAACAGACCCTCCGAGAAGAATTTTTCAGATACTCAAGAGGGGATTGCCCATTCTTCTCTCAGAGAGCCGCTGATTAATTCAAACCAAGTGCCTTTGGGGTTGCAGATTCCTACTACCAGAGCTTCCACAGACAGATCAATAATAAATAGACGAGTAGATAGATAGATAGATAGTAGTTTGTAGTTGTTAGGTGCCATGGAGCCAACTACAGCTTATAGTGACCCTGTATGGACAAGAAACCTGAACATGGCCTTGCACTGCACCATCTTCACAATCTCTGTCCTCTAAGCCTGTGCTGGTTTTCACCAGATCGTTTTATCTCACTGAGATTTTCCTCTCTTTTGCTGACTCTCTACCTTTCCCATCAGGATGTCTCTTCTAAGTAGTAGTTACTCCTGAAAAATGCCCGAAGTAAATGAGATGACTTTTCACCCTCCTTTCCTCTACAAAGCACACTGGTTGCACTTCATCCAAGACGGATTTGTTTGTTCTTTTGACAGTTCAGAGTATAGTCAGTACGCTTTGCCAACATGACAATTGAATGACTGTGATTGTTCTTTGATCTTCCTTAATTGTTATCCAACTTTCAGATGCATAGGAAGTTATTTAAAAGACCATGGCTTGAATCAGGTGCATTTTAATCTTTAAAATGACATTCATGCTCTTTAGAACTTTGAAGAGGTTCTTGACAGATTTTCCCAATGCAATATGTCTTTTGATTTATTGGCTCTCATAGGTATTGATTATAATAGATCTAAGAAAAATAAAATTGTTGACAATTTCAATTGTTTCACCATCTATCATGATATTGCCTATTGGTCCAGTGTTAAGGAAGGGTTATCATTTCAGGATGTAGCATATGATCAGAATCAATACTATTAAAGGAAGTCTAAGTTGCACTGAAGGCACTGGCAGAAAAAAAAGGCCTTAGGAATTGATAGAATATCAATTGAGGTGTTTCAGGAAACAGATGCAGCCTTGGAGGTGCTCACCATTCTCTGCTAACAAACATGGACGACAGCTACCTGGACAGCTGACTGGAATAGGTCTGGACCTATCCATACTCGAAACTTCTTTCCTGGTCAAAGATCACAGCTGTAGTTGTTCAAGTTGGGCTTAGGATTCACTGAGTGGCAGAGCATCAGGAAGAAGGTGTTAGAGCCTGTTGCAGGGTTGGGGATTTGCTCGAGTATCTGAGAAGAGTCATGGGAAGGGAATTGTTCCACTAGGCTGAGAAGAGGAACAATTTAGGTTTCACTCTGGGTTTTGTGACACATAAGAGCTTTGTGTTGGCTCTGTGTCTTATGAAGGTCTCATGGTGACTTCATTAGATATGGATGTCTCTGAGGTGCTTGTGTCCGACAAGAGAACAATACGATTTAACCAGAAATACCAGTTGAGTTTGTAAACACACTGAGGTCCAGCATGAGCATTCAATTCTTCCTAAGAAGAATTGGAAATTGAATGGACAGTTCTAGAACCTTCTCTTGTTCAATGTGTAAAACCAACATCCAGTAGTCACTGCATCTAAGGGTCCTTTTTTTTGGTTGGTTTGTTTAGCTCTGGTGGCGTAGTGGCAAGAAGCTGAGCTTCAATCCCAAAGCATGTGGTTTGAGGCTACCCGCTGTTCCATGGGAGAAAGATGGGCAACCTCCCATGTGACTAATTGAAAACCTCTATGATTAAGTCTCTGAAAACCCACCAGAGAGTCAGCTGTGGGTTGGTTCCAATTTACAGTACACAACAGCAACATCAAGTCAACATAATACCTTGAGTCCCTGAAAATGATGGATCATATATTTCATTCTCATGTTTAATGCACTGCTATTTTGTTCAGCAGGCTACCTATGTGGTCACCATCAATCCATTCATTCAGCAGACCTCCTTAGAGCTCAAGCCTGAACTAGGTTCTGTGGGTGGTGGAGATAAAAAAAGGGCTGCTGTTTTTGGATGCTGCCCTTGGCAGATGGTCATGTCATGCAGGATTTCACTGCTGGAACTCGCAGCATCACTTAGCTATGTAGTCATGGCTGCAGGGGCTTAGTCCTTCCAAGCTTTGCATTTCTTGTCTGTGAAATGTTAAACTTAAACTCAGATAGTGAAATAAAACAAGGTCATTACGCTGTTGTTGTGTACTATCAAGTTGCTGACCCGTCAGTGACTTTTCAGAGACAGTAAAGCCCACAGGAGGAGGCTGTTCCCCTTTCTCCCATGGAGCAGCTGGTGGATTCAAATTGCATGCCTTTGGGTTGGCAGCACAATTCCTCCCCACTCAGCCACCAGAACTTAGTGTCTGGTACACTGATTTTCAGTAAGTGGTAGCTGCATTCCATTTATACATAAATACATACACAGAGAGAAACTGTTGTTCAAACAGAACAAAGGGTTACAGCGTGGTTTAAAATCAGGAAAAGTGTGTGTCACAGTTTTATCTTTCCACCATACTTATTCAGTCTATGTGTTGGGAAAATACTTTAAAAAATATTTATATTAATTTGCATACAAAATTAATATACATTGTGTTTCATTCATGTATATTGTTTTTCACACATTGCTTTGAGCAAATAATTTCAGTAGCTGGCTATATGAAAAAGAATGTGGTATCAGGATTGGAGGGAAACTCAGTAACAGCCTGCCACATGTGGATAGCACAACTTTGCTGAAAGTGAAGAAGACTTAAAGCACCTAGTAGTAAGAAGCTGTGCTGCAATCCCAAAGGCATTCGGTCTGAATCCACCAGCTGCTCCTCAGGAGAAGGAGGGGCAATCTCCTCCTATGTGATTAATTACCTTGAAAAGCCTCCTGGAGGGTCAGCTATTAACTCGATGGTACACACAAACAATTACAGATACGCAGATGTAATGGAGATAGGTAAATAGGTAGGGAGACAGGTAGATTGAGTATGGAGGTAGGCTAAGTAAGGTTGGGAGAAGGAGAGGCTCTGCAGGTAGGATTTGGAGGTAGTGAGGATAAGGAGATAGGCAGGCATGCATATAGGGAGGATAGGGAGATAGACTAGGAGAGGTAGAATAGGCAAGGAAGTGAGTAGCATAGGAAGGTAGGTGGCCAGACACACTGGTAGGTGGGTAGATGAGAAGCCCCCTGGCTTTGGGGAGACCCATGAGGAGCATCCTTCCTTTATGTGACCTGGGAGTCACATAACTTCTAAATGAGTGAAGGTAACTTTTAAATGACTAGCCACTCACATTGTGAGTTTGATCCTTACAGATGTCCATCTTTGCCAAGGCTCAAGTTCCAAGGTGTGATCTTGTTGCATAAAGCAGACAGAACACTGGCTTTATGTCTCATGCCTCAGTTTCCTCTGTGTCCCGGGAGGAAGCAGGAAGTTTGCTGTCACTTCCTATTTAATGTGGGCATGTTTGGTTGCAGATTCAAGATATTGTCCGGAGAAGGCAGCTGCTGACCATCTTCCGGGAGGGCAAGGATGGTCAGCAGGACATGGATGTGGCCATTCTGCAAGCCCTACTGAAGGGTAAGAGCATAGCTGTTAAGTCCCCTGCTCAGAGAAACTCCATATTCAGTGGAGTTCATGGTACATGACTCCTCCTGAGCCATGACCTTTTGCAGAGAGTGATCTCTAGGGGTTTTGTTGGCTGACTTTCAGAAGATGGCCATGCTTTTCTCTTTTTAAAATTGAGATTTTAATGAAAGTTTATAAAGAACTTGGATTTCCATTCATTCATTGTTGCACATTTTCCTCCCTTCCACCACTCCCAGTTTGCTTTTCTTTTTGAAAAAAAAAAAATTCTTTTATTGTTGTACAATTCCTCACTCCCATCTCAGTCTACTTTACTATGCAGCTCTTATTCTGGACTGTTGTCATACAAATAATACCTAATCACATATTCCTTTTAAGCAGTTCTTTACTTCATCTGTTTCAATGCAGTGTACATTATTAATCCCCTCTTTTCTTCTTTTTCTTCAACCCCTATGTCAGTCCTATTTTACAAGAGTGGCATTATGCAGTATTTGTCCTTTTGTGACTGAGATATTTCACTCAGCATAATGTGACCCCTCCAGGGTCACCCATTTTATAGACTATTTAATGAGTTCTTTGTTTTTCAGTGCTGCATATTATTCCTTTGTATGAATACACCACAGCTTCTCCATTCATTTTTTGATGGGCACTTGGGTTGTTTCCATCTCGTTGCTATTGTGAACAACACAGCAATGCAGTTCTGGTTTCTTTAGGGTATATTCCTAGTAGTGGAATTGCTGGGTCAAATGGTATTTCTGTTTCCAGCTTTTTGAGAAAGAGGGCCATACTTTTCTTCCTTGTATTTTTTAGTCTGGAAGTGCTACTTAGACCTATTCAGCATCGTAGCAACATATAAGCCTCCACTAACCGGTGGTGGTGGCTGTGCACAAGAAATCAGTTTGCATGGGAGGTGAGAATTCTACCATTGAACCCCCTATGCCCCTTTGCCTTTATATTTTCTTAAAGATGACTTTTGGAGAATAAAATTTTCAATATTAATGAAGTATAAATTATAATTTTTTCTTTTGTAGCTCATATTTTTGTATCCTATTTTTGAAATTTTTGCCTATTACAGTGTTGTAAATATTTTTCTAAGTTGTAAACACTATAGAACTCAGACTCAAAACTAAAACTTATTGCTGTTCAGTTGAAACTAACTTACAGCTGACTCTTCAAAGGGTTTTCAGAGGCTATAAATCGCACAGGAAGAGATTGCCCACCTTTCTCCTAAAGCCACTCGTGGATTTGAACCAGTGTAGCAGTGTGGCCTTTGGGCCAGCAGAGCTTCCTATGGACGGTCCCACCAGAGCTCCCTTCTTTATAAATAGCTCTTAAATTTCGATGTGTGGTGCTTGCTTCAGCATCACATAAACTAAAATTGGAATGACACAGAGATTAGCATGGCCCCTGTGCAAGGATGACACTCAAATTCATGAAGCATTCCATATTTTTACTTAAAAAAATTAGATATGTGATCATCTTAGATGAATTTTTGGGTGGTATGAGACAGGCATAAAAGGAATCTCCAAATAATAATAATCCAGATTCAAAACATTAAACTAGCAAAAGACACTAAAAACCATGTGGGAGGCATACTTGTGTTGAGACTTGTGGTGAGTGATGGTTGTGATCAAAGCTTCATTGCTGTCCAGTCCAGAAGAGAAACATGAAGGTTAATGTAGTTCTGATTTTTGAAGGTTAATGTAGTTCTGATTTTTGAACACCACTTTTAAAATGCTTGTCAGAACTTCTGAGGACCTACTGAAATGCACAGATCTTCTCTCAACTGGCGGCTCACTGATCACTTAAGTGTAGAGGCCCACTGGGGACTCGGGCTATTTTGAGAAGCAGAGGTGAGCTGAAGGGATTGAAACTCAAAGATTTTCAGATTCTGTTTTCACACTGACATCGGTTCTTCTGTAATTTTTATTCGTTGTCCAACTTGGAGAAGCAATTGAAAATACCATGGCCTGGATCAGGCACTCCTTAGTCTTTAAACTGACATCATGCGCTTTCACTTTAAAGAAGCTCTTGCCAGTAGATTTCCCCAATTGAACATGCTTTGTTTTTGTGACTCTTGCTACCACGGGTGTTACCATTTTTGGCAAGGACTAGACACTGGAATATCAGGAAATGATTTCCCTTGGAGATACCTAGGACATTGACGTTGTCCCGAGAGCAGTCATCCATCTGATCCGGAGTTAGATTCCAGGGTCGTTCTATTTTAAAGGAGTGTGGATATGGGGAGGATTTTTTTAGCAGAGCGCTGCATTTATTCTCTTAAAATTTTTGAGAGATTGAAGCTGATGAGAACTCCTTGGTCTGCTGAGTCTATAAAGCAGCAGGTGCAGGAGTAATACCTCTGAGACCCGGTTTGAGGGCTCTCCAGTGCACACTTTCACCTACAGCCTCTCGGAACCATGATCGATTTTGCCACGAGAACTGGGGCCACCAGCTGAACCTGGCAGTGGCATGGAATCGTGTGGACATCGCGCTGAGCGAGATCTTCACTGATGAGAGGCAGTGGAAGGTAAGATTTTGGGACTTTTGACTGCCTCAGAGGTCCCTGTTGGCCCAGTGACCCAGAAGCAAGGGCAGGCCCTGGAGGACACCTGTCTTGGTCCCAGCCCTCCCTCCTGCGGTGCTAGGTTGACCTGGGTAGGTTTCATATCTATACCATGGAGAAGACAGCAGCCCTCTCTCTCAGGTCTTTGAGAGGGCACAGGAGGGGATGACCAATGCAACCCCCTGTCATGGTGCCCTCTCTCAGCCTTCAGATCTGCACCCCATGATGATTGCTGCCCTCATCTCCAACAAGCCTGACTTTGTGAAGCTCTTCCTGGAGTATGGTGTGAGACTGAATGAGCTTGTCACCTTGGAGACCTTGCTGTCCCTGTACCAGAACCTGACACCCTCCTGCCTGTTCTACAACAAGCTCCAGAAGGTGCTGGCCGAGGATCCCCTGTGCCCACCTAGTATCCTCACCTCGTCGTCCACCCTGAGGATGGATCACGCGGCGCAGAAGCTGCAAGACCTGCGGATGGATCACGTGGCACAAGTGCTGCGAGACCTGCTGGGGGACTTCACGCAGCCCCTCTACACTGTGAGTGCTGGTGACAGGCTCAGTGTCATCCCCGCTTTGCTGCGTATGACACCGAGCTTTTAAAAAGGATCTCTCCACCCATCTCCTCACCCACCCATCCATCCATTTACCCATCCATCTGTGTGAGGTTGATTTTTAGAGAAGAATTTTTTTGTGGTAAGCTGCTGTTGAGTTGGCCTGTGATTCATGGAGACCCTATGGACAATAGAATGAAACACTGACTGGTCCTACACCACCCTCCATGATTAGTTGTGGGTTGGACTGTTCGGATCCAGCAGGTTTTTATTGGCTGCTGCTGGGAAATAGATTGCCAGACCTTTCTTCCTGCTCCATTGTAGTGTGGGAGTCCTGCTGAAACCTTCTCAGTATTATAGCAACAACACTAGCATTGACTGACAGATGGGCGGCAGCTGCCCATGAGGCGCACCAGCTGGGAATCAAACATGGGAATCCCACATAAAAGGCAAGCATTTTTCCACTGAGCCACCACTGGCCCTCCCTTTGTAGATTTAGCTTTACAGAAAACTGGGCAGAAAGTACAGAGAGTTCCCATATGCTGCCCTTCTTCCCCTGCACATCCTATTGTTAACAGCTTGCATTCGTCTGGGATATCTGCCACAATGAAGGAACCAATACTGATAAAATAACTGAAGCCCACCATTCATATGAAAGGTCATTCTTTGCATTGTTCAGTCCTACACCTGACAAGTCATACACTTGAAAACCCACCAAAGGGGTCAGGTATGGGTTGGTTCCAACTCGACGGCACACAATAGCACCACCAACAACACTTGACAAGTGTATAATGTTGTGTGTCCAGGACTGCGATAACACACAGGATGGTTTCACTACTCAAAAAATGCCCTCTGCTCTACCTAGCTTTCTTTTTTTAAAATTTGACTTTCATTTTATGTTGTTGTTGTGTACTGTTGAGTTGGAACTGACTCAGAGCTGATTCTCCAGTGGACTTTCAGAGGCAGTTCATCTCATAGGAGGAGATTGCCCATCTTTCTCCAATGGAGCAACTGGTAGATTCAAACTGTGTACCTTTGTGTTGGTGGCAAAATTCCTGACCACTACACTATCAGAGCTCCCTTTTGTTTTATATTAGGAAAGAAATATGCTTAGCATTCACTTTTTGGGAACTGTGAACTTCAATCAACTTCTAGGACCCAGGAATCACTTCCTCTGGAATGAAGAAGACTAGTCTGAGGAGGTTGCTTGGCTACCAGGAAAGCTGATAATCTGGCCTTTGTGGCCTCTTCATTCATAGCATTTGCTGACTGTAAAACAGCTCTGTTCTTGTGGGCGTTGACCAATGGCAGCAATGCCACAGAATTTGCTCTGGAGGGAGGTTGTAAACTGGTGAACATCAAATGGTTTTTCTTGGTCTACATCAAGGATTTGGCATCTCTGTTGGCATCAGAAAATCTGTTTTCATTTACTGATGTCAGCGTTGGATTGTCTTTCTCTTTTTCCAGATTGACAAATTGCTTAGCTCATTGGAGTGCAAGTTCTTATGTTTAAGGAGGGTAAACTATCTTGACAAACTGGAATTATATTTAATTTTCGGGTGCTATGATGCTGATAGATTAGGTCCCACATTCTTACCGTGGTAATCTCATCCTCCCTCCTTCCCTCATTTTCCCTCCTTTCTGCTCTTCGATAGCAAAGAGCTATGGGAAAACAGTGCATAAATCTTTGCTGGGGGTTGAGGATATTACAGTAGACATGACACTGGGCTCTGAACTTCATGATAAACTAATACAATGTTGTTGTTGTTATGTGCCATTGAGTCACGTGCAACTCATAATGACCCTATGCACCATAGTTCTGAATTCTTCCCAATCCTGAACCCGTTTCACTACTCTCCCCCCCCCCTTCCCCCCCCCCCCCCCATTATTCCAGTCATTGTGTTGACCTGTCTCAACCAGGATCTTCTCTCGCACTGTCTTTCCACCCTTCCAAGCAAGGTGTCTTTCTCCAAGGACTGGCTCCTCCTGGCAACATGTCCAAAGTATATCAAACAGAGCTTCAAAATTTTGCCTCCAAAGGGAAACTTGCCTTCACCCTCTGAAGGACTGACCTGTTTGTTCTCTTGGCAGTCCATGGTATGTTCAGTACTCTTGTACAGAACCACAACTCAAAGGCATCAATTTTTCTTCTTCATCCTTATTCATTGTCCAGCTTTCAGATGGGTAGCAAGTAATTGTGAAGACCATGGCCTGGATCAGGTGCACCTTGATTTCCAGACTGACATTGTTACTTGTTAGTACTCTGGAGAGATCCTTGACAGCAAACTTTCCCAATGCAGTTCGTCTGCTGTGATGCTGAACCTTGTACCATTGGGTGTCAATTATCATAATCGTTATCCATGGTGGACAGTGTTTGATGGAGTTCCCAGTTTAAAACAGGTTTGGAAGCAGGAGTGGCATCCACTTTCTAAAAAACATGCTTTTGGAAACTCTATGAACTTTGATAAATAACAATAATTGTAGAAAGGCTGAGGGCCTTTTGTTCGTAGGGTCGCTATGGGTCATGTTTGACTTGATGGCAATCAACAACAACAACTCAAAAAATGAGAACATTACAAAAGATTATGCAGAGTACAGGATCTTCTTTTTGCCCTTTACCCCTTAGTTCCACTCTCTAGATGTTACTGAGTCTCTGAAGTTAGGGAGATAACCCCTTAAGAGCAACGAGTTGCAAGCTCACTCAGAGCATATGAGGAGAGTGGGCAGTTCAGCCTGGATCCTAATTTAATGGGAAACTACTAGGGACTGTTGCACTTTTTCATGTGATGCTGGCTTTTGTGCTCATAGAAGTGTCTTTCTTATTTTTACTCTGATTCTTTCTCCTAACCCTCAGTTTTTAAGAATCAGTTGTGTTAAGATGTAATTTGCACAACACACCGTTTACTCATCTAAATGTACAGTTTGATGATTTTTAATGGGTCCACAGTTTGTGCAACTGTTTTTTTACCATCTTCATATCCATCTTGAAAAATGTCAATCACCTTAAGAAGAAATGCTTAGGGATATAAAACAGTACAGCTGTTGATTAATATAGTTCAGTGGTTTCCCAAAAAGTTTAACACAGAATTACCAGAGAATTCAACATTTCTGCTCTTGAGTACAGAACAAAAAGAACTGGAAGCACACAGATACTTGTACACTAATATTCACTGCTTCACTATTCACAGTAGTAAAAAAGCAGAAACAACCCAAATCTCTAGTAATAGAAGTTGGATAAACAAATTGTGCACATCCACACACTGGAATATTATCTAGCCATAAAAAGAATACAGTTCTGATGATGCAATCTGGGTGACCTTGAAAACATTATGAGTAGTGAGAAAGCCAGACACAAAAAAACAGATACTGTATGATCCCATTTATATTAAATACATGGAACAGTCAGATACATAAAAACCAAACTTCATTAGAGGTTACCAGTGTCTAAGGAGGGAAGAATAGGAAATTGTTTGTTTTTTAAAATTTATTATTAATTTCAATAAAAGTTTACAGAGACTTTGGATTTCCATTCATTCATTGTTGCACTTTTCTCCCCTCCCAACCTTCTCCTCTAATACACTA